TATATATGTATATATATATTATACTATTTTATTCAAGTTATATCATAATTTTATTTTAATTTCATATATAAAACAATTTTATACATCAAAATTCATATAGAATAAAATTTTAAGATTTTTTTCAATTTCTTGTCTATTTTGTTAATTTATTTAACTTTTCATTATTTTTCAAATTTTTAATAAAAAATCATGCGTCTCACACCCCGACCTATGGCTAAGCCCGTTTGGGCTTGTGCTAGAGACCTAACTTTGAAGAGTTTTAGGTAAGGCACGACCCACCCAGGACCACGTGTCGGGATGGCATGGCCTATCAAAGCATAGACAACCCACAAAATCGTGTCGTGTTGGCACGACACAACCCACTTTATATTTTTTGATCAAGTAGTCAAAAGTGCAAATTAGAGACAATACAAAAAAGGGCACAAAAGATAGTAGGTAACACATATACAAACAAATGGATATTCGAATCTGATCCAATCAGATTTAATTTTTTTAAATATTAAATTTTTAAAAAAGAGAATATAACAATTTAAATAAAGAAAAACAAAAAATGAAAGTGTTTTTCAACTATTCTCATCATATATAATGTCTTTTTATAAAAAATAAATAAAATAAAAAATTTATAAAGATATAATATAAATAACATATTGGATCCTTTTGAATCGGATAAGGGTGATCCGAATCTGATCTGGTTTTTTAACTAGATCTGATTATCCAATCCTATTCGAAAATCCGTAATAAAGATATCCAAATTCGATAAAATAGGATCAAACTTTGGATCGGATTGAATCATGATTCATTTTTACCCTCTATGTTTTTTGTTATTCCAATATTTATTTAACCTATCATTAAATGGGATGTACACTATGAAACAAAGTTTTTTCCAATAAAAATGAATACTAACCGTTAACATACTGACGATCAACCAATGTTGCATCCTTTCATTTTTACCTTCATCGTTTTTTGCTATTCCAATGTTTGATCTCTCATAAATGTGAAACTATAAAGTGGGTTATACCCAACACAACCCAACCATTGTAGCAATTGGGCCAATCCATACCTCCGAGTTGTGTTGGGCTTGGGTTTTGAGGCTCGTGCGTCAGCACGATATAGAACAAATTATCTATCTATCTATCTATCTATATATATATATATTCAATTTTATTATACTATTTTATTCAAACTATATCGGATTTTTTTTTAATTTCATATATAAACAATTGTATATATCAAAATTCATATAGAATAAAATTTTAAGTTTTTTTCATTTTCTTGTCTATTTTGTTATTTTATTTAATTTTCATTATTTTTTTTTAAATTTTTAATAAAAAATCATGCCTCTCACACCCCGGCCTATGGCTGAGCCTGCCTAGGCTTGTGTTGCAGGCCTAACCTTTGAAGAGTTTTAGGTAGGGAATGACCCACCCTGGACCACGTGTCGGCATGGCACAGCCTGTTAAAGCATAGACAACTCGCAAAATTATTGTGTCGTGTTGTCACGACACAACCCACTTTATATTTTCTGATGAAGTAGTGAAAAGTGCCAATTTAAGACAATACAAAAAAGGGCACGGAAAATAGTAGATAACACACATACAAACAAATGAGAAAGTAATAGTAAAGAAATAATCATAAATTGTCAAACATCAATCTAACCACTTTCTAATGGCCTAAATCCAAGTTCTTCCCAACTTGGGGTCAAGTAGATATTTTCATCCCAAATTGTATTTTCTTTATCATACTTGATTTACATTAATGAATTTTGTTATAGTTTTATCTATTATTTTTTCATTCATTTTCACCCGTGCATCGCAGGCTTCTCCACTAGTAATGAAAAAAAAAGGAACAGAACTTATTATAACGAATGCAAACAATGTTAAAGCTTGGTGGAGAGATAATTATACTGATCACGTTGGTGTCCACTAGACTAAGTAACTTTGGACGAGAAGGAATGAAGTAGTAGGAATGGAGAAAGTGGGATAATATTATCTAGTGGGTTGTGAAACATTCTCCATCACAAAATGTATAATGGTAATGTGATCGGCGGAATTTCAATTTTGAAGCACTATTTTTTGACCAATAACCAGTCCTAATGACGCTAGTCCACGTTTTAAAAGTTAAAATATTAAATAATATTAAGGCCCTGTTTGATATATCTTTTTGTGTGGGTTGTCAGCTTTTTAGAAGTTTGGGAGCTAACGTTTTGCTCTTTTTCCGTTTGATTAGAAAAAATTTAGCCGCCGAAAGCCTCAGTCTTGAAAAGATGTGAAAAGCACATTTCAAACTATTTTCAGGAAGCTCCAAATAAAGCTTTTGCCTTTTTTTTTTCAACTCGTATTCATGCAGAACGACATAAAAACATATACACCTTAATCAAAAGATATTTCAGAAAAACTTACCAAACATCCCCTAATTCTATGGCATAAAAAGGCCCACATTGTTGGGAGTCTTCTCCGATTATCGCTCATGTTAAGATGACAAAAGCATCCCTATGGCTGTACGCATGCTTGCATATTAACTTAGTTATGAAAATACATATAATTAATGACTATCGATATAACATTATACATGTATTTTTTTTTTGTATTTTTAAATAAAATTACATTTCCAAGTCTACAAAGGAAAACTTAATCTATATTAAATGCATATTCATTAATATACCACTCATATCTTCACACCTGTTATGATGTAAAGCTTAAAATTCTCTTAATTAATACATGGGCATTAATGTAATGGGTTCTTTTTAGCCATGTTCAAATTGCAAGTAGAAACTTTGATCTTAGGAGGACAACTTTTTCACCAATCAAAGCTTTGATTCTTTATTATTAACAATGATTTTAACTTTCCTTATTTAAGATATTGAAAAGTAGTTTGGCAATCGAGTCAAATTTAGAGATTTTGGCAAGACAACAAGCAAGGGTCTTGAAAAGTAGATGCTTCAATTAAAGAGAAATGAATAAATTTGTAATCAACTGATATTTCTACAAATACAATTCTTTTCTTTTATCAGGTTTCCAAAATTGTGACTGAAATAAATCCTATGGGAGGAATAGAGATTTTAGCTTTTGAACGCCCTTACCAAACAATAACTTCTTTTTTTTTTGTGGAAAAATATAAACTTCTGAATTCATTAAATTTATGAAACAAATAGATATCATGATAAATAAAATTAATATGAAGACCGTATAGGAGGGTGCAAGTGGTTGAATTTAGTGACTTATATATTAATTTTGTCTTTTGGGAAATGAGTTATTCAGCAAGTTGCAAGCTCCCTCATGCCTGGACCTGAAAGTTGGGTTTATTACTATATTCTTAAGTATTTTATTATTTAGTCATTTTATTCATTATGGAATATATCAATGAATCATTCAGTTCAGCCATTTCAGCCATTATTATATTGAGAGTTTGCTATATATTGCCACTTCTCTTTTTGTTTAAATGATTCCTTAATTTGTTGGTATCATGGTTGTTGAACTGTTTTACGCTTAGCCTGTCTTTTGGCAAAAAACTGTTGATTTGATCAGTAATCTATTGATATGGGCGATTGAACTATTGACCCATTCAATCCAGACAACTGGTTGTTTTTTATTTTAATTTTTTTTTTTTAAATTAGAATGAGCCGTTTGTTCAAACTGAATGGTTGAACCGCTGAATTAATTTTTTTTTATTTTTTTAAAAGGCAGTTCCGAATTGGCTTTTAAAACATTGGTTGGTGTATTCGCTTCATTTTGCTTTATATATATTAGAAAGGGGGTGGCAATAGCAAAAAGGACTGTCTGGGTTGAGGCAAAAGGCCCACCCAAACGGCCAAACCCATTTAAAGAGCATCAAGCTTTTCACGATAAGTTTCTAAGATTGAGTAGGGCCGAGCCTGGCCTGGCTTGACCCGACCCAATAATAGCCTAATGACAAATGGGTCAGGATCTGGGCCGATCTGGGCCAAAGCGTGGCGTCAGCTAGGCATGGCGTATCTTGAGCTTGGCCTGTCCAACGAGGCAACGACCTGAATAGTTTTGGGTAGGCCTGAGAGATGGACTAATTAGATACATTCTCACTTCTCAGACATCAGAACTGAGCCAGACCCAATGCTAGAGAACTCACGAGCACGGCCTCCCAAAAATCACTGATGTTGAGAAAGGATTAAAAGGCAGAGAGATCTTTCAGAAGAGTGCCCAATCAGCGTTCTACTGTAGATTCAACAGCCCCCCAAAAGACAAAACAAAAGCATCATCACGTGAACACACTCCCATTGGAAATATGAATTCAGGTGGAACAGGGAATCTTGTCGTGGTTCATTCATTCCAAACCCATCCTTTTCTTTCTTTTTCTTCTCTACTCAACTTCAGTTGGACCACCTTCACCTTTCATCTTTGGTGGATGAATTTTGGACAGTTTCTGTCATTTCTCCACTCGCTTGCTATTTTGTTATTTCTTTTTGTTTACTTGTATAACAGGTTCAATTACTTCCAGTTTCTGTCATTCACCCCATATTCTGTTTATTTTTTTAATCATTTTAAACAATGAATTATTTGTCTTTATCACCAGGGATGTCTCCTGATTGTCAAAAATGGGAGGTCCCCAGATCAGTCATAAAAAAAAAAAGAATCGAATTATAGCGTGGGCAATACTAAGCACACAAGATTATTGTTATTATTTTTTTGAGCATTAGCTGGAAAGTCTTGTCATTTCAGTAGCTCTCTGAACTGTCAATACGAATGGTCTTAAAGAAACTAAATTTGTATGTCTAGTATTTACTTGTTTTTATTAGAAAAATTAAAGGTTGTTGATTCAGACATTCAGTGACAAGGCTTTCAAATGGGCGGTGTTTTCCCACTGTTTGGTAAGGATAAACCTGTATACCATGTGCCACACCATCGCTCAAGCCTCAGAGAGAGAGAGAGAGAGAGAGATGTTGGGGCTCGTAGAAGTGATAGATGTATTTAGTATTTACATGCAACAATGGCCTAAAGAACATAAGCAATTTTAAGAGATGTTGGGGCTCGTAGAAGTGATAGATGTATTTAGTATTTACATGTAACAATGGCCTAAAGAACATAAGCAATTTTCATCCGTTCCTCTTAGAGGAAAAGGTTAAGTAACATTAACGGAGATAGAGAAGTACTTTACTCACACGCACACACGCGAGGGACTGACTCTTTCTATTCCCATTACTTTTCTGATTTTACAGTTGCAACTGTCGGTGGTGGAATACAAAATGTCTACTTTATATGAAATGGGTCATCTCTGTTTTTCTCTGTCTCTTCTACTGCTCTTGTTGGCTTCTCCTGTCATCTCTATCGTCTCTTTCTCTTCCTTTCTTTGTGTTAGTTAGATAAGAATTAAGAAATAGGTTCAGGATTCTTGTTGAATCACATACGCAATGGTTCTAGCCCAGGACCGGAGATGCTTCTTCATATCGGCAGTGGCAGAGGCCCGTGGTATCCTCAGATTGAGGAGTGGGGAATCGGGTCTCTTTATCAACCAGGCTTCAGACAGATAGGGCCTGATGACAACTCTTTCCTCTTGTTTCTCCTCTTCGACTTCTTCATCTTTGTCTTCCTCCTTCCCTGTCTTCATGTCACATCTGTCTTCCTGTTCTTCTGCATCATCATCATCATCATCCTGGTACTGTCCAAGCCTCTGTAGGCCAGGAATGACACTCATCATTCGTGGGCTCAAGTACATCTTATCGAACCTGAAGCCAAGATCCATGAACCCCTTCACCTCTTCGTATTCCAGCTCCCACAAGCTCTTGCAGCTCATGGTCTTCTGTATTCTCCTGCTCGGATCACCACCTGTGTATCTCTGATGTTTCCGGCGTTTCTTCGTCGAAGGAGACGATGAATGAGAGCGGGGTTTACTTATGTCAAGAAAATTCAATCTTGTGGGTTTTTCCTTGGTATAAACGTTGGTCTCAGAGTCGTTGTTGCTGGACTCACCCTTCTCGTAGTGTGATTAAACAAGAAAAAAAAGGAGCAAAATAAGTGAACAGTCGACGAAGGTTAAAGCTAAACCGTCAAGAAAAGGAAAAGGAGAGAATTACCTGGAGAGGGACAGGGCACGAGATTGATGAAATTTCTTCCTCGGAAGGAGGTGTGGATGGGGGAGTTGAAACTGAAACTGATTTCAGAGGAATCTCTGTGATGGGTCTGGTCATGGTGGGTTGGGGTTTGAGGGACATGGGCTCTGGGAGAAGAATGATGTAGTGGAACCAGAGTCGATCCATCGCTCCTACAAGGTTTGATAATTGATGGTTGTCGGCCATGGCGACACACATACACACCCAGAGAGAGAGAGAGAGAGAGAGAGAGAGAGTGGTTCCTTTGTTGGCGTAGCAAATGGATGTGGTGTTTATGGAAGAAGAGGGAATAAATGAAAGAAAATGAGGATAGAAACGAGCTAGGCATAGGACAGGTAGCCTGGGGCCAATGTAGTCTGGACTGTTGTGGAGGATGTGGGTGTAGGAAACTCAAACTGGAGTGTCTCATGGGCTTGTGGTCCTACTTACACCCTATTCAAGGCTGCAACTCCACAACTTGGACATGATTAATGACTCCTTTGCCCCCTTTCCCTTTCTATTACACCACTGATTGAAAAGCTTCTAGTTCTAGTTGTCCGACTTACCGACTCCTAAACTTATTACCCCTTGTTTGGCCGGTGCACTGATTCTGGTTTTTGAAGCCTTCTTAACCAAGGGCAGTGGAAAGACAAAATAGTCGTTGTATCAAAAGTACAATGAAACTTTATATGAAATTGGCTGCCCTGAGTCACAGGATCTAGGAGGAGGCGTCCCCAATCACTATTTTTGGTCCTTTTGGAGGGGTGGGGTGTCCTTGGAAAGAAGCTTTGATGCCTTGAAGTGAAGTGAGGCAGTCATTATTTATAAGGGTCAGCATTGCAGCCTTTCTTGGAAGTTGTTTGTTTATTCTGACTTCCCATTTAGACTTAGGCGATGTTTTGCATCAATGCCGGAGGAAAAGGGGTCACATCAGAGAAAACAGTACTTCAAACAATATCCTGAAAAAATGTTATTTCAGATTAGCCTTGAAAATCGAGAATATGTGGTATTAAGCAACACCAAATTCAATATTTTCTAAGAAAAGGTTGTGCTACTGCCAATAATGCAATGACATGGCATCAATGTGATATCATCTTGGACATTGGATAAAGAAGCTTTGGCATCAATATGATATCATCTTCCCAGAACCAATGCCAAATACCTACTTAGATTCTTGAGTGAAGAAAGGAGATTTGGCATATCCATTATCCAAATTCCTCGCATGAAAGTATAGTGCTTTCTAAATTCCCAAAAAGAAGTCATTATTTGTTACTTAATTAAATAGCTTTCTGCAGGGTTGGCCATCTCATGGCATATCAAAGCATAGAAAACATTTGTTGACAACTGACAAGTCCTCCCTGATCGGTCTCTCTCCACATTTCATGGAATACATCTTAGACTATTCTAGAATAAAATTTCAAATTGGATCACTCATTGCGAAAACCAGCAAATGAGAAGTTCAATTGCAAAAACACTAACAATCAGCTCGGCAGCTCCGAAGTGGGTCTTCAAGTATCTCAAGAGTCCGAACTCCTAATCATATCTCAGCTCAGAGCTAACAACAGGGCATGACTTAATTAGGCATAGGTCTGTAACTGTAATTGAACCAAGTTGATCGAGTCGAGTATTGGGCTAGTTAGCGAACAGCTCGGCTCGCTTACACCCCTAATTAAGCACAATATTATACTTAAACCACCATGTTCTAGGGCCAACAATTAGATGCATTATTGTAAAGCCTCCTGCATTTCAAGTCTCAACTATCTGCACCATTGATGGGGTTACAGCTAGCAATCTGATACTATAAATTGCTCTGCTTTAATTCAGTTGGTACCATACCTTTGTGTGTAGAAACTAGTGATTATCCGGGCCTAATTTCTACAAATAAATATTAAATGATTTATTATCTAGGAAGGAATAATTAAATACATACGCCCACTTCTGTTGAGTAGATCAATCAGGTAGCAAAAAAAACAAAAAGCAACTATCAAATGTAAAATATTTAAAGATATAGTAATCAAATTAACCAAACCAACTTAGGCTTTAAAAAACTTACCAAACCAAATAATTTATTAATATTATTAGTGTTAATTAATTTGCTATGCAAAATTGAGATCTGGTTAACTTTTATTTGCATAGTAAAGTAATTAACACTAATAACCAGTAGTTCCGAAGCGGATTTCCAAGCTTCTTAGGCTTAAGACTCAGAATCCTAATCTCAGGGTTTCAATAGGGCATGGCATAATTCAGCTCAATATCATTTTAAAATATTTGGTTTTGAACCAATAACAGTATATCAATGTTCAAAAAAATCAGATCGGACATCGGGAGAGATTTTTGGGTTAGAGGTTCGACTGAAATTGAACCGTTATAATATAATAAATAAAAATTATTATATATAATATAATATGCATAAATTATATAATATATATATATATATATACATATACATAATAATTACATTCTATTATCATATATATTTTCAATTCTAATTTTAATTTTTTATGCAAAATAAAATTGAGATTTGAGGTAAAAAAAAGAAGACATTTTGTCTTAGAAAAAAACAGTCGAGGCAAGACACTTTTGGCCTTTCGAATGTCTAGATTGCAAAAAATTTTTTAAAATTAAGTACAAAGTTATGGCCTCCCAAAATTTGAATATGGATAAAAAAATTAATAAAAATCAGTTGATTTTATAAAACAGAGACCGATTCACTGGTTTGCTAATTAGACAAATTGGGGGTTTGATCATAGTTTAACCGGTTCGATGGATGGTCTGTTCCGGTTTTCTAAACATTGCAATAAATAATTACAGAAGTCATAGTGAAGCCTTCTACATTAAAATCTCAATGATCAGCGCTAAGGGGATTACAGTTCGATAGTGAAATTACTTTATTAATTCAGTTGACAACTTTTCGTGCAGAACAAGTGATAAACCAAGCCTAGTTTGTACAAATGAATATTAAATAATTTATTAATTAGGAAAAATGTAATATATATTTAAGCATACAATAATATGCACAAAATCATGTATAAGATATATGATATTTGAATTTAACTTTTATGATATTCTCAGAGTCCAATCAAATATTCACTTTATAATATAGTATAGATATAGATATAGATATCAAGCAATTTTCTGCATAGAGAATATCAGATACGCGACATGTGTTATGAGCAGAGGTGGCTTTCTGATCATTCCGGTTCGAACAAATACCATAAGCTCTGGCATTTCAACGTTATCTCACCTCAGTACCGGCAATTCTAGCACCACGGTCCCGGAATTTGGATTAGCAAGCATTGGTTCCTCTTTGAGTTCTTCCACGTTCTTCAGTGACTTCATCTTTACCAGAGGATTGTGCTGTTGCAGGGACCCTGGGTATGGGTTGTGGGGACATGGGAGAAGAGACGTGTGGACTTAGAATCTCTGGTGGTGCTCGCAACATTGGAGTTTTGGGTGCGAGTCTCTCCCTCACTTGAGCATGCCATTGCTTTAAGAATGTTGCTATTTCCTCTTGAAGCACAATGCACCCTTGTACTTTGAACCCATCTGTGTCCAAACAACCATCCAAAATCATATTTAGGCTGAGGCAGAGTTTAGAGATTGCTAGTTGTTACAAACCATTTCGGTTGCTGCCTGGTGAACAAATACCCAATTTAATGATCACAATGCTGGGGTTCAAATGGGCTACCCGACTTCAACAAATTACACCGTATTGGACTGTTGGGTGCGGTTCGGACCGGGCTCAACATATTTTACACTGCTTTGTGGTGGCCAGGCCCATCCAAATTTTCACAAAAACCCAATTTGAGCCCGCACAAATTGCACCCCTACCCACAGCCACAGGTATAAAATCCAATCCATGCTTTTGTAGCATGTACATGGCTTTAGTTTTTCAAGAAAATATTGGCTATCGAAGGACATGAATCCGACCAAATGCATTTACATTTTAGTTTTAGGATTCAAGGATTTACGGGGCATTCTTTTTTTAGATTTTGAGAGGGAGAAAGTTGGTCAAAGGGATTTTAATTCCTATTGATCAAGAAAACCATATTTTTTTTTTCAGATTTACGTAAGGATCAGGGAAAGTTTATTTTCATGGGTATCACTTATCCGGGTAAGTGATACCCATCTCTTAGGTAGGTAAATAACTTTTCAACCTTTGGGGAAATTTGCCAATACTTGACTGGGATACAAATGCCTCTTTTAATAATGGATTTTTATGGCTAAATTGGTCATTGCCTTATTTGCCTAGGAAATAAAAGAACATTGATAAATACACTTATCTACGTAAGTCTTTCTTAAGAAATACTTACCTAGATAAGTGCATTTACCCAATAAGTAACTTACCAAAAAGAAAACAGGGCCTTAGATATAAAAATTAAGATTTGGTCTTTTTCATCCAACCATGGTAAGAGTGAAATAAAATCCTATTTTTTTTCGAGATTGAAGATTTATTTAGAATTTGATAACGCTTTGTTTAGTTATATACCATATGGCCATAAGGCCCATGTATACCTGTGTCACAAGTGCATAAAGCGGAAGAGTAATGTAGCTGGAAAGGACTTGCACGATCACCCTGAGAAATAACAAGAAAATTTTTGTTAGAATGGAAAAACAGCATCCGTTGGTGTGTCGGGTTAAGTGGTAAATCCACATTCTTAGTCGGGTACGAGGTGGGACCATGCCAATTGTCAAACCCAACCAGTTCACATTGTAGAATTAAAATATTAGTATATATAGGCTTGCTTGAGCATAGGTGTTGGTTTGGAGTGACTTTGGGTTGGGTTCAGTTTGAATCGAACCCATACAGAACCCATTGGTATCCCGAAAAATTAAGAAAAATATATGATGTCCCACTTATGAACCTCGACAAATATTATCTGATTGGTTAACATGTTCATGAAATTGGATGATTGGTCACAAGTTCTCTTGATGTGATATCTTTTTGGTATTATAGTCAGACCCCAAAAAAATATGAATCAGGAACTGCTTTTCACAGAGCACACTTCACACCAACCTCACAGTACATCCCACCATGTATTCAAACATCTCTCCAATCTCCATCATTATAAGCAGCACACAAATATAAGAGATGTTCTTGATGTGCGGTTAGGACATGGTTGTGAACAGCGCTCTGTGAGGAGAAGATTAGGACTCCATTCAAAAGAGATGAAAGATCGATGTTATAGAGTTGCATCAACAGAAAATAAACTACTGCTCTTGGTTCTTACGCTAGCACAATCCGTGTAACAAAGATCTCTGTATGCTCATGGTAACAAGATTCTAGTCCATATTCTACCTGTAAAAATGATATATATGGACGAAATTAAGAGAGTTCAATTCTTGTTTGTTTTGGTACGTATTAACAAGTATTTACCGTAAACAAGGTGAAATGTAGAAGAGTGAGGACAAATTCTGGTTTCCCAAACCAGAAGAGATCGTCATTTGGTTGCACCAGAGGGGTTCCTATGATTACAGCGTTCTTGTCCTTGATTTGAAGAGCCAATCTTGCAACGATGACCTTAAGCTTGGTTCCCAGCACCAATACTATCTGCAAATGCAATAAGATGACATGCCGATGGAGTAAAACACAGTGTAACTGGATAGGTAAGATCGAAGAGGGAGAAACTAAAGGTTGCCAGATGGCCCAGATCTAATACTTACAATCAATGGGACATAGGAAACCCAGAGGTATACATGCCATCCTGGTTCAGAGCAATTAAGTTTGTTAAAAAAAACAGTACCCAGAACTTGAATTCATGTATCAAGGAAACTTTGAGTTGTGAATTAATTACCATGCACATCGACCAGGAGGAATATAATGACAAGAAACCACATGAGAGGGCTGTTGAGACAATAGATATCAGGTTAATTAGTACCAATGAGAGGGCTGTTGAGACAAAAGATATCAGGTTATTTAGTACCAAATAGCTGAATAAGCAGTGAGATGGCAACTGATGAGCACTCCGGACCTGTTGGTTATCTACTAATGGGATGGGATCCATGGCTGAATCCCCAATGAGGTTGCTGTCTAAGCACAGTGCACGAGGTTAAGGCTACAACTTTGGGCGGGATGGGTCTAGCAATGAATCCTCAATCCTGCTAATAATAGGTAACTAGAAGACACTGAATTACTGATGCAGTGATGAGACCAGGTTTCTTTTCCAGGTAACCCAATCAAAGTCTGGTTGGGCTATATCAGACATTTGAAGCCCTGTTCTGGCCCAACCCAGTACTCCTTGTATCCAATGCTAAGCTACATGGCCAGGCAAATTGCCACTCTAAATGACTTAAAATTTCAATTGGTTTAAGCTCCTTGTATCCTTCGTGTAAAAGTCATCTATTGGTTTAAAATTTCAATGGACTCTTGGTGGATTTTTTATCTGAGAATCGATGTAAATGCACATTGATTTACGATAAAAAAAAGTCAGCCAAAAAAGTGGTTTACAATGTAAACTTTACATTGGAAACAAACAGCCAAAAAAGTGGACTGAGTGTGGAGTTTTACATCGCTCCACTTTTACACTAAAAACAAATACATGTAAATGAACCAATGATGGAGTTTTACATCGATTCGCATTTACACCACAATGAAACGCAGCCAAAGGAAAAAAATGAATCTCTTCCCTTGAAAAAGCACTAACTTTTAAAGCAAAAACACATAAAACATGTTGTTGGTTGTTTATGAGAATCCTTAGCGTTAGTGCTTTTTGTTGTTTTGGGCTAAGTGGGCCTACAGAATGGGCCATAGTCCATACAGTAAACCCATATTCCCCTAATCCTGGTGAGTTGGGATTCGTTCCCAAGCCCCGGTTTGAACCAGTCAGAGGCCTTACCAACTAGCCAGTTGACACCTTGCAAGAACAATCCCAGAATTTCACATTTGAATTTTGCCAATTGCCATGCAATAGAAGATAATCATGATGATACATGCATGCATGCAGCAGTCGAAGACCCGGTCATGTTAGCTCTTAGTTGGGATAAGCCTTATCCATTCAGTTTTAATTCTGTTAGAATAGATAAGTCTTCAATTCTGTTCCTAGATAAGTGCATTCTGTTTCCTAGATTAGTGCATTAGATAAGTCTTCAATTCTGTTCCTAGATAAGTGCATTCTGTTTCCTAGATAAATGCATTCTATTTTTTTTGTTGATAAGCTCCTAAGATTAAGGGGTAGTAGTTCCTATTTCTACTCCCAGTTTGTAGCACATAAGGCTATAAATATAGCCTGAATGAATGGAGTTGGCATTGGTTTTTCTACAAACAAACTCTCTCTCTCCTCCTTATTCTAGATCCTTCTCCCTCTTGTTAGATAACTTGAGCATATCACATGAATAAATATTAAATAACGGGTATTTACCTTACTCCAACTAGCGTTTTGAAGTCATCCTCCCAGGATCGCTCTATGTACTTTTGGAAATTGAATGCATTATTGTTGGACAGATGGGCCTATAAGATTTGAAAATACATATAGTTAAGATTAATAGGGAAACCCTTCGAGTTTCGGTTTTGGTTCATGTGAATCTGAAACAGATTCTTACTGCAATGAATCCATGGCACAAGGTGAGATAGTCAACTTTTGCTACCGAATTGAAGAATTGCCTGAAGAAACATTTCTATTCGATTTGGCATCCAATACCCAAAAAGAAATTAAAAAAGAATTATAAGAATTGAACTTCACACAAGTTAAAAACGTTTAGTTTGAATTTTTAAGTAGAAAGGGAAATAAATATAGTGAACTTACAACCCATAGCTGAACTGATGTGTCTGTGCAAGATTGCATATGTCGTCTCCCAAATGTTGTTTGCCTTGTAAATCTAAATCGTCTGGGATCTTATTCAAAATGGTTTATGCATTAGAAAAATTAAAAGAAAATCAGCAATGTAAAGGGGTGTTATCCAACGTGAATTGTTGTTGATGTTGCATGTTTCAAAAACAAAATAAAACCGGTGGTTCATGTGAATCTGAAAGATATTCACCAATGCGGGGTCTGGGGAGGGACACAACAGGTGTATGATGCCTTACCCCTACATATATATAGAGAGGTTGTTTCCAAGGTTTGAACCCTGATCATCTAAGTCACAATAGAGTAAATCAACCATTGCACCAAAGACCTTTAGACTAGAGATCTTTTTCCTTAGACAAGTGGCATTTTATTTTCTCAAGAAATAGCATCTCAAAGTGGTTATTCCAACTCTAGAATAAAAACTTCCTCCTCAGACATATGTCTATCCATTCAAATGATAGTTATCTCCACTCTCAACACTCTCAAAACTAAAACCAAAGACATGTCCTTGAATTTCTAGTTTAAAGAATATGTTTTTTATCTGGCTATTTAATATTTTGTTCCATAAATTATAATATTTATACTAATCTTTTTTTTTATGTTTTAAAAACCATCATTTTGTTGGTTTCAAAAAGATATATTGTTTTTTGAAACAAAATCAACTTGTTTGTGCTGATGGGCCCAATAGAACAGAAAACCATACCAAATTCTATTAGGTTTGGTATGGCTAGGATATCTAGATCAATTTGGTTTGGTTTATGAGAATGACTAAACTGAAATATCGATTAGGTTCTTGGTTCTAACTGAATTGACTGAATGGCACCCATATTAATGGCTTTTAGGTTTTCAAAATGTATTAATAAAATATAGAATTAAAAAGTTGCAGATCAGGTCAGGTCAGTATTGGGTTGAATCCTGTAGGGATGGGTCAAGTCAAGAGATTGCAATTTATTTGGTCCGGTTTAGGTGGGCAGATTGGAGGGCCAGGTTAGGATTGAGGCAAATTTGTACCAAACTCGACCCATTGACATCCCTAGTTCAATCAAATCAAAAGCATTTCCAAATGGGCCCTAAGTTGTTTTGAGTTAGCCCAAAACTTGAGAGGGGAAAGACAACATATGGTGGGTTTGAAAATTTGATTTCCATTAGGTTGAGGATTTGGGCAACATCATCCTTTGTCGTATATAATGTTGAATCTCAAACCTAAGGTTTTAAAAGGCTAAAGGTGTAGTTGAGGTGTAATGGCCCAAAAAGGTGAGGCATAAGTTCAAAATTTAAGAAAAAATTAATCAAAATTTGTAATTTGATGAAAATAAAATATAATATACCGAATTTAAATGATAGAAGGTACACATATCTATAAACTAGAAGTTTATAAGCAACAAATTTTGGCATTTAAGCATTAAGTAAAATAATAACTAATCAACATACAATTATAAACATTTCACATTTTATGTAAAAAAAAAATGTTTTAGAAGAATTGAAACATATGAAGAACCATCCATATAATTGATATTAGATTTATGATCATCCAATGGTTTAGAAGAAATAAAACAACTTAGTTGATTTGATCTATACAAATAATAATAATAATAACAATAACAACAACAAAAAAAAACAATTCAAATTTTGACAAATCGCCCAACCCAAATCGCCCAATTTGCACCCCTAAGTAAACAACCCAATTCCATACCTACAAGACACTCCAAACCCCCCTCCCCCTTTGACTAGTAAGTTTCCTCTAGTTGGACGGGCAGTCATCTTAAATTTTATTAACCACTATTAAAAGGGAGAAATCTTAATACAATGGTTAAGATTATTGGGTTGGATAGGGATGGGACCATTAGGTTGAAGGTTAACCTCAACTCTACCCAACCCAGCCCCACTTACACCCCTAAGCATGTGAGACCTTTGTCTCCTTCTATGGGGAAAAGCACCACCCCAGGCCCAGGGGTTGATGGAGGCATGGAGTGATGTTGCACTCTCCATGAATTGGCAATAATTATCTAAAATCAGGCAGCCGGCCTGAGAGGTCTGCTTGGCTAGCTGGTTATTAGGTCAGCAGCCCACATGCTTCTTGAATAACATCTTGAGTTGACGCAGAAAATTTGTATAGCATACCATTGGCAACCTGGTACTCGACCGTTTGTGTCTCTTTCTCCCAGGCTTTCCACTGCTTCATCTGATCAGAGAGCGAGAGAGACAGAGGCAGACAGACGTCAGTTCGTGGGGATAGATCTCTAGTTGCCTCGCTGACCGGAGAGCTTAATGAGATGATCCCAACATTAATTTTTAAAACAAATTCAACTCTGAAATCTAGAAGTGCGAAGTTTCGCGCTTAGAAAATTATAATTCAAAACAGGAAATTAATTAAGTCAGATGACACGGTTGCTTCGTACCTTAGCCCTTCCAAGAGCCATGGTGAGAAAGCTGTAAACAAGCTGCATCACTGCCAAGAAAAAGATGAACATTTGAAGCTCATGCAGCCCGTCTTGGCTTATTAGAGAAACCATGTCCTGCGCAAATAATAACTTATTTGATCAATCAACAATTACTCGTGAGTAATCATCTCTGTGTCTCATGCAACAGAGTCAGAGATGAGGGGTTGGCGTTGGAGATGAAGGCATACTTTAGCAGCACAGCTATCAGAAGTGGCAGTTTCATCCTCGTCTAGTAATCTTTGGAATTGCCGTGGACCATCTTTAGGGGCATCGTTTGCCCAAAACATATCCATGGAATCTCCACTGTTGAATTGAACATGTTTACTAGTTGTGGTTTTTATGGTTCCTTTACGGCATGGAAGCATGGTATCTGCAACTCGGGTGGGTATGCATATGGTAGAAACGGGTTTTTGTATTACTGTTAGGAGCAGCGACATGAATCCCAGAAGCATTAACTCTGTGTAAAATATAATCAGTTATGAGTCGATTCGACGATGGCTAGGACTAGGAGAAGCTGAGAAAATTAGGAAGTGCTTAATTAATTGTCTGTAGATGTGGAAAATTTGGAGAACCCCACCTGATTTAAGCCTTTCCACGGCTTCGTTTAATGCTTTCTTTCGATGTGTCTTGAGCCACTGCATCGATTAGTTCAATTCCATACAAATTTGTAAGACAAAGAAGGGGCAGGAGATAAAACGAATTTGATCGAACAATTGGTGGTGAATTTGATTGTTCTGCTTAATTTGCTTACGTTGCCAAGGAGATGAATGGAATGCTCGAGAAAAATGGAGATGGAGATGAATAGGAAGCAGACAGTCGCGAGTGCCCAAGTGGGCGTTTCTTGTAGAGAGCGTGCTGTAGGTGTGCCTTCTTCTGGGGGTGCCATTTCTTACCTGCAGCATGCACCTTCCTATTCATGGAGAAATAACAGACGTGACAGCATCGTCGATCGGTCAGAGGTTAAGACGAGAAGACGGACGAGACTGTTAATTACAAAACAGGGCCAAGGGGTTTGCCATTTTATCAACTTCTTCAGAGTTGAGAGATTGTTGGACTGGTGCGGTGTAGGTGACGTCCATCTATCTATCAGACTATGTACTATTTGAGTCTATTTCTACTCTTGCTTGACCGAGTGTAGTCAATAGGCTTCTGCATCGCGACGGGAGAGTCGAGACCGGCTTGCTCCGGTTAAGAGCCGGTCTTAGCACGTACTTGGTATTCATTGGCCATCCTGAGCCTGAGGTTTCAACTTTCAAGTGCTGTTAATATCCAGAAAATCGAACGATTGAATGTTTCAGCATCAGCTTTTCGTTTTCCTTGAATATCCGTAATAAATGTCATATAATAGTCCAAAACGGAAATTTTCTAAAATTCATCATATTTTTTCTTAAATTCACCATTTTACCCTTTGTCAGATTATCATCTTAAATTTTCTCTAAACCCCATGTCAGATTATGTATAAGGCAGTTGGGTGTTTAAGGATATTTTAGTCTTAAAAATATATTTAATGAGGCTGATTTATCATTCAGAGGCAGTTCGGTCATGAAATTTGCATTTATGTTGATGTAGGCAACTTCTATCTAGACCTGTTCATGGGTCGGGCCAGGCTAGGTTCGGGCCAGACTTTCACTCTGTATTAACAGATTTTTCTAAGGCCCGAGCTTGGCTCTCATAAAAAGCCCAAAGCCTGGGCCTGGGCCCGAGCCCGAAATTTAGCCCATACTGTTACTACTGCTGAAGTGGCTGAATAGTGAGAGAGAGAGAGAAATTATAAAGAAAAGAATAAAAAATGTATATATTAAATTATAAATATATATTTTAAAAAATATTATATTATTTATATATTTTATATAATATATAAAATACATGTTATATATTTTATATAATATATAAAATACATGTTATATATTTTATAGCGGCTGAATAGAGAGAGAGAGAGAGAGAAATTATAAAGAAAAGAATAAAAAATGTATATATTAAATTATAAATATATATATATATATTTCAATAAATATTATATTATTTATATATTTTATATAATATATAAAATACATATTATATATTTTATAAAATATATAATGCTGAGTCGGGCCGGGTCAGGCTCGGGCCGTGCTTTTTTGACAAATCCCGAGCCTGGCTCAAAACACAGTCGGGCTTACTATGTTAGGCCCGAGGTCAGGCCCGCGGGCCTAATTACATGACCAAGCCCGACTGGGGTGCGGGCTAGGCCATCGGGCTACCCCGCCCATGAACAGGTCTATTTCTGTCTTGGGGTGAGTATTCAATTTATTCAGTTAAAAACCGAACTGAATAAATCAAAATTTTTAAAACTAAAATAAAAAATAAAAACCGAACCGAAACCAAATTACAATAAAATCAAAATAATCGAACCAAAATTTTCGGTTATTTCAGTTAACAACCGAATTTAATTAATATATATATATATAATATTATATATTATAACTTATAATATATATACATTATTATAATATATTAATATATAAATATATAGAATATTATATAGTACATATTATATATTATATAATGAATTTTAGTTAATTCTGTTTTTTCGATTAATAGAATTTCTAAATCTGAAAACCAAAATTGTATAAATCGAATTAATCGAATTGAATTACCCAAAATTTGAAAGAGCCGAGCCATAAAACTGAAACCAAAATTTTTGATTCAATAATACGGTTTTAACCGAATAATGCTCACCCCTTTTGTCAACGAACAATAAGGATGCAGTAATGGATAGTGAATTTTGAAAAATAAAAAGCTCTGTGATATGGGGTTCCTTACGTACTTTGAAAAGTTATGGTGACTGATGAGAGTTTAGACATTTTTCTTAATCCAAGACCTCAAACACATAATCCAGTATTTTAACAGTCTATTACGTTTATCCAACAGAAAAAAAAAAAAGCATTGCAATCAGAGAATACTTTGGCTCTTGGGAACATTATTGGACATGACATGTCAACTCATTCAGTCTTTCTGTTTGTTTGTTTTTTTTTTGTTCAAAGGGATGTTGACTGCAATTATTCTTTTACCCCAAACCCACGGTAATAATGTATCAGGCCCAACTGCCCAAGAACGTTTCCAACATTACAACAGCCAAAGTTTTTCCACAAGCAAATAAAGCCTTATTTCATGGTCGTAACCTTTTCTGTGAGTTGATCATTTCTTACTCAACTGACGATTTTATGCAGTTTTGATATGGTAAAGCACTGCAATGTAAAGATTTGTCAGTTCACAACATCTGATTTATCATAATATTTGCATTAGAGCCCAGTAGCAATAGCCCCACCTATCTTTTCTTTCTTCTTACAGTCTCAATTTGGCTCAAGCCTTATTGAGTTTTTTTTTGTTTTTTTAACACTGAAGAAGGGACTTGGCTTACAAAACTTCATATTTAAAATCTTAACTCGATTCATACCTAAAGTCGACCCTTTTATATATGTTAGACAATAAAACCTATTCAAAGATCTCGCTTAAATTTCAGCATGCTGTACACATTATAATTAATTAAATGTGGTCTAGTGTTCATTCCTATCACCCCATTATAATTAATTAAATTTCAGCATGCTGTACACATTTTAAACCCAATGAGCTTTCATGTAAAACCTATTTAAGAACCTTAATTAACTAACTTAAGCTTTAGGTTGAATGGTCTGAAAATATATTAAAAAAAGAAATTAAAATAGAGTGCTTTTCGTAAAGATTCCAAATCAAACATCAGGTGGTAGATTTCACCACGAAATGTCACAGAGAACAAAAATAACGTCACATCAAGCACTGAATGGAAGAGGGTTGCTTTTGATTCACAAAATCAATAATTTTCCTTGTCTCCTCCGGTCATGAAGGGTAACCATTCATCTTCACATATTTAAATCAGATATATAAAAATGACCACAATATTCTATATTATTAATAAAACAAGTTAAAAACGACATTTTTAAATAAAAGAAAAGTTTATTATTGATCAAAAAGACCTAATGGACATAAAAAAAAGAAAACTTATCCCTTGACAAGAACCTATAACAATAGAGCAATAACTCTTCAAACATAACCATGTAAGCAGGGGTGCCAATTTCTAATAATATACAATATTGTGATGGATTTGATCACCCACTGGGTTAATTTAAATTGGTTGGATTGTGGATAATCATTGGGTTTTTTTATTTATTTTTTTAATTTTATTCATTTGAATGAAATAATTTATAATTAATGCATTAATTTTCTAGTAATTATTGACTAAAATTAGTTTTGTTTCAAAGCAATATACTTCACCCAAATCGACATAAATCCAAATCAATTTGACCCAAGTCCGAACCAGCTCAACTTGGTCTAAATACGAATAGACCCAATCACCTCAGTTCAATTTGTTTGGGTCGGTCAACCCAGTCCGAACCTGGCCCGACCTAGGGTATGTCAATCCGGGTTGGGCCGAATCCGAAACAAGTCGAGTGGGATGGGGTTTGGACCCTAAACCCGTCTGTTTGCTTTGCCCAATTTGGATCGTCCAGTTCGTCTCATATCTGTACAACCTGACTCGAATCCGGGCTGGTCCGATTTACTTCTCTTGACCCACTTTGGGCCAACCGGTTCGGTCCCAAACCCATGCACAAACCTGATATGGGCCGACCCAAGTCAATCCGTCATTGATCGAACCAGTCCGGTTTGGTCAAAACGAACTGATCCAAATCTAAATGGTTCAACCACTCTTGATGTGATTAGTTCGAAGACAATCCAATTAGATAGTTCAAGTTGGTCTGACCGGTTTGAACTTAAGTGGTTCGGTCAAATTTGAAACCCTAGCATAGTCAAAATGGTTTTGCCACTTGTGTAAAAATAACATGCATGTAATGTATTTTGAATCTTCACCACTTGTGTAAATAGCAATTATTTGTCAAGAAGGAGTTAGTTTTTTTGTTTTAAGTACACAAATATAAGATTAATGGGTTTGGACGGATTGGATTGGGTCAAAGCAAATTTGGGTTGAACCCAACCCATTTAATTTTATATAACTGACTCATTAATGGGTTGGATTGAAGCTCAACCCAAACCAAATCCAACCCAACCCATCCAATTGCCACCACTACATGTAAGATTAAAATTCAGTAACTTGAAAATAGTTTTATTTAACTTTTAAGTTTAAAGATATCATTTCTTTGTTTTTTTTTTAATTTTTTTATTAGAGAAATTGGAATCAACAGGAATAAGATTTCATTCCAAAAAAGGCTGGGAATGGCCATTCCATCAAATGGGGGATATCATTCCAGTAAAAATAGAAATGAATTTCTGATTCTGTCCAACCAAACAGCTGGCATTCGGATTCCAATTCCAGACCCCTATTCCTGGGAACCAAAGTGGGCCTCAGTCATTCGGATTCCAATACCAAATGACTAAAATAGAAAATTCTTAGCTTTAATTCAGTCGTCATTTCCTTTTCGTGGAATTTGGCCTACTTTAACGCAATTGTAATTGCTAGTTGTTAGTTATCAAGGGAGGGAAATGGATTAAGATAGTATAGCCTTTTTTATTCTGAAATCAATGGCATTTGAGTATACAATTAATGTTGTTAGCTAATTAACTACCCTTTTCATGAATTAGGAACTGTTCTCGGCAGTGGTTGGTTTTGTAAGCCCCACTTCTCTCTCATCCCACAATTTGTTTTTTTATAGAAAATAAAAGTTGAGGTGTAACACGTCGATTTAATTCCAAGAGCAAGAGGTGATCCATCTTACAGATTTCGATATTTCATGTAATTATGTTATCGGAGATTGTAAGTCTTGTTGCAGGTTTGACTTCATCTCTGATAATTCTAGAACCACCGCCATCCCGGTCCTGTTCGGATTAGCCGGGCTTCTTGGTTTCTCTGCTTCTGGTTCTTGGATGATTTCATCTCTCCCGGGGAATAGAATTGCTTTCGTGAAGGTGGGTGTCGGTCGTGGGGATAAGGAAGAAGAAACTTGGTTTATTAAGACTGCATCAATGGTGGTGCTCTCTGTTTTGGAGTGGCAACTTCCAGTTCCAGTTGAATGTGATGATTGATCTCTGTTCCTCTTCATCTTCTCCCTAACTCCACTGTGCCATTGTTTTATGTATTTCGTTGTTTGCTCTTCAAGTACTGCACTCTTGAATTGGGAACCCATCTGTGTCCAAACAACCAATATTGGAAGTTATATCAAGTAGGGGTTTTCATAAAATGGCTTGATTTGGTTTGAAATTCTTTAAAATTTTGTTTGGTTTCAGTTCTGTTTTCTGAATTTTAGAAATCAAACCAAACCGTAAACCGATATAATATAATAAAGTCCCCAAACTATATTGATGATTAATGGAATTGGTATTTGGGTCTTAAAAATATATTGTTCTAATTAAATTTGATGCTTACATAATATACCAATTATAATGATGGTTCAATGATTTTTATGATGACTAAAATACTATATTTGTGTTATTTATAGTTTTATAGTCCAAACCGTGTTAGAAATCGTCATAAAACAGTTTGGTTTGGTCTAAGAAATTCTCAGACTGTATTTAACTCGTTTGGTCTGAGATCTTTTTCAAACTGCACAGAATCAAACTGTGAACACTAGATAACAAGGTTGCCTCTAACATTTTTTTTTTTTTATATTGGATGTCTCCCTATTTACAGCGAATTTTGTTATTTAAAACTAGACCTGACCGGATGGTTGAACAAGAACTGGCCGGAACCGGAACCATTGTTGTGGTTCCATTTTCTAAATATGAACCACCTGCAGAGTTATATAAACTATTGACTTTGATCACAAACCAGTTCAGCCATGGTTGAACCATGAACTTTTGGAACCTGTTACCTGGTTCATTATTTTTGATAATTCATCAACCTATTAAATTATAACAACTGCTGTGGTAGTAAAAAACAAACAAACAAAACAGCTGTTTATGTCAAAGTTCAACAGATGCCTTACCTGTGTCACAAGTGCATAGAGAGGAAGGGTTATGTAGCTGCAAAGAACTTGTACAGTCACCCTAATTGAAAATTAAAAGAAAGAAAGAAAGAAAGAAATAAGGTCTTCTCACAAGAAGCTAAATTAACACTGGAGAAAGAATGATAAAAGACTAATGAACAAAAGAAAATTGCTGATATTGGTCCTTACGCTAATACAACCCTTGTGATGGTGATCTCAATGTGTTCATGGTAGCAAGAATTTAACCCATATTCTATCTGTAAAAATGATATACATGAACAAATTAGAAAACAAAGAACAGTTCTATCAGGCCATGTAATTTGTTTTCTTAATCAGAATTTGATGACAGAAAGGTCAATAACAACTCTACTTACGGTAACCCAAATGAAGAATGAGAACTCGAATGCATTCTGGAAGGATTTGACAAGGTAGAATCAATCAGTTTGGAGGTGAGACATCCTTAATAAGAGAGTAATTTTCTTGTCTCTTTGTGTCAAGAAGAGAATATATAATTACCATGAACAGAGTGAAATGTAGAAGAGTCAAGACAAATCTTGGGTTACTAAACCAGAAGAAGTTGTCATTGGGTTGCACCATAGGAGCTCCTTTGATCACAATGTTCTGGTCCTTCAGCTGAAGAGCCATCCTGGTGACAATGACTTCAAGTTTGGTTCCAAGAACTAACACTATCTACAATCATAATATATAAATTAAATGGTTTGCTGGGTAAACTATAATTCAACTAGAAATTAATAAATTTTGATGAGAAGTGAGAAACAAAGGTTTAATTTGCTTGTTGTAATACTTACAAACAATGGGATAAAGGATACCCAGAGATAGACGTTCCATCCTGGTTCAGAGATTATCCAAGTTTATGAATAAAGGAAAACTGAAAACATTAACCAAAACTACTTGAGATTAACATAATTCGATTCGATCTTACCATGCACGTCCACAAGCATGAAGATGATGACAAGAAACCACATGAAGTGACTGTTAAGGCAAAATTAAGAAGTCACAACTCACAGCAGAAGCCAGAAGGATATTTAGACAAGTCTACTAAAGATATATACTAAGATATATTTCAACTGTCCTAGCAATTTAATTTATGAATTAAATTTAACATGTTGTTTTAACATAAATTAGTGTATGATCAGGTTCTAATAGAAGAAGAAGAAGAAGAAGAAGAAGAAGAAGAAGAAAATACTACTGTGCTCATACTCCATATAAAAAACTTGAGCTCATACCATCGCACAACCACTTTAGAGGAAAATAACAGAAAGAAAGGAAACCAACATACCATTATACCAGTTCTTAATCAAGTATCTGCCTCTACCCCTACCTCTAGTGTTTTTGGCACGCCTACTGACCTTCATTTGACCTTTTCTACCTTTCCCCACTCCAGGTTCTTAATTTTGAAAATATTAGGTTCTATTTGTTTGTTTGTTTATTTGTTTGTAATGCAAATTTGAAGTAGACAAAATTTAGTAATTTACACGTGATTTAGGCCCCGTTTGGTTCGTGGGAATAGGGGGTCTGAAATCGGAATCAGAATGGGCTATTCTGGTTCCAACTGTTTGGTTGGGCAGAATGGGAATCCCATTCTCATTCCCATTCTTGCTGGAATGGCATTCCTCCATTTGAGGGAATGGTCATTCCCTACCCCTCCCTTGGGAATGAAATTCTATTCCTGCTGATTCCAATTCCCACTCTTACATCTCAAATTCAATCTCGAGACCACATAATCTTGCACCCTACGCCACTCCTAAATAGATAATCCTCCTTTTGACTATCATTCATTGTTTTTTATGTAAAGTGGAGAGTCCAGACATCTCATACATGATAGTTCCCAGTTTTATAGTGGATTCCAGCTCATGGTGAGATGTGTAGTGTCAAATCATATTGGAAGGGCGTTGGAACATTCTTGTTGGCAGGTTATCCTAACTATAAATGGCTGTCAGTACATATTACTTTCTATTTTATTTCCCACAAACAAATAAGACAGTCAAAAGTGAAAGAATAGTAAGCCCGAAGGTTACTACAGCTATAAAGAAACTAGGCTCAAAATTTCGAATCCACCATATCTGCAATTAGATTGGAATTTGCAACAAGCTCTCCTCATAGACCTCCCGATTATCTTAGTGGATGGTTCTTGGAGTGCCACCACACAAATTGCATCCACTGGTATATATATGTTCTCTCGTAGGTCTCTTCTTATCATTGCAGAAGGACAACCATGCTTGGCAAGATCACCAGCAGCAGTTGAGCTCTGGACAATGATTAGATGTTTACGAAAGTTTTTTTGTATGGGTATTAAAACAGTTTTTTGCTTTCGGACACAAAGGAGGTTTTAATGAAGCTGAAAGGAACAGACAAGCATATTACATGGGATCTACAGGCCTTATATGATCATATATATGAACTCTCTTTTTTTTTTGAAAATATTACAATTCTGCATGTAAATAGGAACTTAGTAATGCCAGCCCATGATCTGGCAAAACGAGCTAGGCATAAAAACTCTTTTGTAAATAGTAATGTCAGTTCGGTAAACTTAACTTGCCTTTTTTTAGAATCTTGTAAGAAAAGGACACAAATGTTCCCTTAATTCCCTTCAATGAATCTTTTACAGAGGAAAAAAAAAAAAAAAAAGAATCTACACTCAACCGCTTTTTTTCACTCGCACACATTTACACTAGTGCAAATGAATTTTGCACTGCAAATAAAAAAGATGAGAAACAAACTAGAGTTTAAATAACTTGACATTCAAATTGAATTATTCAAAAGTGGGCTTGGATATTTCTCGTTTACATTCAATCTTAGTAGCCTTTCCCCCTGATAAATTGCAATTAATATTTTAGGTTTGCATGAAGAACAAAGTGAGAGATAATTAGTAGCAGATTTTATTACCTGACCCTGACTACCACTTTGAAATCATCTTCCAAGGATCTCTTTATGTACTTTTGGAAATTGAAGTTATTGTTGGTGGAGAAATGAGCCTATAAAAATGTGAATTTAGCATTAAATATTTATATTATGGAAACATTCTCATGAAGATTATATACTTGCAGATACTTACTGAAATGAAGCCATGGCGCAAGGTGAGGTAATCGACTTTTGGTACAGAATTGAAGAATTGCCTGAAGAAACATTTCTGTTTCATTTTGCATCCATTAATGCCAACGAAAAAATAAAATGAAAAAGATTAATTGTGATAATCATAGATCCAACTCAATTAATTTTATATACATTAATAGAAAGCATGCATCTTAATTAGATTTCAAAAGAAAGGGAAATGGACAAATTATTAAGTGTGCTTACAATCCAAAGCTGAACTGGTGTCCTGGTAAAAGATTTCATATGCCGTCTCCCAAACGTTGTTTCCCTTATATATCTGAATCGTCTAGGATCTGAACCCCCCCCCCCCCAAAAAAAAAAAAAGAATTTGATCATTACAAATATTATATTCAGGGGGAAAAGAACAAATATTATATTAATTAGAATTTATGTAAAAAGGGACAATATCAAGGGCTTTTAGATCAAATTGGTGAGAAATATGTCTGATCACATTACATGATATCAAGGGTTTTTAGGGAATTGAGATAAGATTTGATGTATGAATTGTTATGATAAGGGTGATTAGGAGTTTTCAGTAAGGTGGAATTTATTATGTTAGGGTAGAGTTTGAAATAGAATAAGATAGACCACATAGAGTCTTAAGAGTTCGAGTTTGAATAGATTTGATCTCTGTTTTAGTGTATAAATATGATGCAATTATAACACTCATTAATACATTATTTTCTATTCTTCTTTGAATTCTAATGACCAACCAAAAAAGATAAAGCTGATTCATTGACCCTATGTAACTACACAGACAGGTGTAAATTAAAAGTTTGGGACGTAATTAGAAATTAAAATTCAACATCCGCATACTTGAAACCAACTCATGACTTGGAACAATTACATGTTTTTGAAAGTTCAACTGTAATTGCACATACCCTAGGATGGGATTGGGGAGCACCCAAACAGAAGGCCTAGTAAACTTTTGACAATGGCTCAAGACTTGAGGTTTCTTTTTTAATGTCCAACTACACTTATGTTCAAGAAAGAAATTGCAAATATCTAAATTTTCAACAAATCCCACTATGATATCGAACAAGTTGGAGTACCAAGAAACCAGCTGGTCCATATTTGATAAAAAAACGTGCTACAAATCTGTATTGCGTATTCAGTTTTGGAAACAAAATTATGGAGTTGGAGCTAGGAGTGTCAATTGGATTGGATTTCGTCCAATCCGATCCAGTCTAATGTGAGTCCATTATAAATGGATCAGGTCCAATCTAATCCAATGAATGTTTTGGATCAATTTGGACTGCTCCAATTCAATGTTTGGACCATCCTTATCTTATATCAATGGATCAGATATTAGCTTAATCCAATCCAATCCAATATAAATTTGTTATGGACGGACGAGATCCAATCCAATCTAATAAATATTTTGGACCAAATTGGTCCAATCTAATATGTCTTATTAGTCCGTCTAATCGTCCAAATTGATTTTAAACTAGACGAGATCCAATCCAAAACCGGTCCATTGACACCCCCAGTTGGAGCCTTATGCCCCACGAAGAGGTTTGTTTTACTTTTTGGGTTGGGCCCCTTGACGGTTTTGGCCTGGCTAGTCCATGCTACATTGCAGACCTGACAGTGCCACTGCCAATAGCAGGATTAAACCCATAAACGACCTCCCTTTTTTTATTCTTAATAAAAATCTCTACTACAGGCAAGACATGACACCGGAAGACTCTTGACCCATCAAATCCCCCTGTGAAATTTTTGATAAATTCCACCTAATTGGTTAGCCGTTACCACTTCTTTGATACCGCTGATTGATTACAAGTTTTCCCCTATCATGTCCCTCTGGTATCCTGGTTGAATTCTTATTTATTTTGGACAAACCCAATTTTATTCTTGGTCTTTGATCAATCAAAACACACACACCCTGAATATAGTAATTGATTGGATTATAAGTTTTTCTGGTATTATAGTTGAACCCTAAACAAGATCTTACATATTTGGGGAACCCCCTAAATCACATTTTGATTGATGGGAAGGAAATAAGATTTTACCATTGGCAACTTGGTAATCAACTGTTTGGATTTCTTTCTCCCATGCTTTCCAACGCTTCATCTGATGAAACAGAGATTTTAAATAATAATAATAATAATAATAATAATAATAATAATAATATCTCTTTAATTTTTACCTTAGCCCTTCCAAGAGCCATTGTGAGAAGACTGTAAACAAGCTGCATTACTGCCAAAACAAAGATGAATTTGTGAATCTGATGCAGCCCATCTTGGCTTATCAGAGAAACCATCCCCTGCAAGTAATAACAAATACTTGATTAATGTTCACATATAAGTACTTTTTTTGGGTACACTAAAGTCCTGTTTGTTCCAAAGAAATAAGCAATTGAAGATGCAGGCATACTTTAGAAGCACAACGATCCGAGGTGTCACTGCTATCTTCCGCTAGTCGTCTTTTGAATTGCCACCAACCCCCACTGCCGTTGTTAAATGGACTCCAGGAACGTCGTCCACCATTCAAGCGTTCATATACTACTCCATGCTTGCTTACTGTGACTTTCGTGGTTTTACTTTTATGGCATGGAAGCATGGTGCCTGCAACTCTGGTGGGTATGCAAATGGAAGAGATGGGTCTTTGTATTACAGTTAATAGAAGAGACATGAACCCCAATAGCATCAGTTCTGTTCCAACCAACCCATTATATATTAATTCAAATTTCAAGAATTCAAGGTCTAAAGTCTAAACAAACAAACAAGTAAAAGGAAAAATTAAAAAAAGAAAGGCATAATCCATATCTGATATCCCACCTGATTTAAGCTTCTCCACAGCTTCATTCAGTGCCTTCTTTTGACGCCTCTTGAGCCACTGCAAGGATGAATTCACGTTACTTAGAAATGAAACCGGAACAAATATTAATGAAGAGATGGATAAGGATCTGTTTTTGGTTGGTATATATGTTATGGATTTTAATTAATTGTTTGTCGATCGTACGTACGTTGGTAAGGAGATGAATGGAATGCTCGAGAAAAATGGAAAGGGAGATGAAGCCGAAGCAAACAGCGGCCAGCGCCCAAGTGGGTGTTTCTTGGAGAGAGCGTGTAGTAGATGAAACCCCTCCTGCTGCCCCCACCGCCATCTCTTCCTCCGGTGGTTTTCGTACGTTCTTGGTATTCCCTGTTCTTCTCTGGAGAAAGAAAGTTCAACTTCAACGGCATCGGAGAGGGAATGTAATGCCGGTGGTCTTTAAAATGTAAAATACTAAAATCTCTGCCTCAACTGCACCTGGACTAAATCTAAATCCTCCTGCCTTTATTTTTTAATGTACCTCTCAAGTCTCAACTAACCGGTGTAGGTAGCATCTCTATTCTCTAGTCTCTTGTTTGTTTGACTTAGGCAGCTTAATTTGTTGCGAGTTGCGACAACCTCCCACATTCTAGTAGCCGGCCTTGGCACGTATATCGATACAAAGACCTTTGCGACCTCAGGCTCAATGAAAGACGAACAGGTCAGCGATGCAAAAATAAATTCGAAACATAGGTGAGAGACTACAGACTAGGGAGTCGTAGAAGAGTTCACATCCCCGCCGTGCATTGAAAGCATGTGCCGATGATGACATCATCGGTTCTGGGATGATGATATCGGTTCTGATACATCCAATGTGGGAGGAGATGCGGTCTATTGGCATTGTTAATAATTCTGTGGAAGATGTGGGTCATTCAAAAAGAGACCGTATCTGCTCCTCACACTAACTTCACAGGTACATCCCACCATATATTAGGAACATCTCTTGTAATTATGTATTATTATTTATCGGAGATATTCCCAATATATGGTGGGATGTGCCTGTGAGGTCATTGTAAGGCATCCTGTGTGAGGAGTATATTCCAATTCCAACAAAAATTGTTACTTTGGCATTACCTTTAGTGGAATACGTTATCTGGACAACCAAGCTACAGCAACCAAGATCGGCTTCAGTCAGTACAAGGTCCGTTTGAACAGTCTTTACAGCCTTGTTTTAGGAATATCTCTATACTATATACTTTATTTCCTGGAGAGATATTCTCAATGCAAGGCTATAGAGGTTGTTCGAACAGGCCTTGCACTGACTGAAGCCGAATTGACAGCAAACAGATGAAAGGGAATTCATACTCTCTGGACTTTGGAGTCCTGAGGATCAAGGTGGTCGTCCCAGTTGATGTCATTGGCCGTTTAATTTAGGCCCTATTTGGCACATCTTTTTGCGTGGTCTTTCAGCTGCTTACAAGTCCGGAAGATTGAAAAATGGTCTATTCCCATTTGGTATGTGGAAGATCTCACCGCCAAAAGATGGGGTGCCAAAAAGACACGAAAAACCCGTTTTAGGCTGATTTTGGGAAGCTTCATTCGTTTTCCACGTTTTAATCTCACGTGGAAAGACCCAAAATGACGCACGAAAAGATGCATATCTGCCAAACGGTCTTTAGGCTACTCAGATCTTATGTCAAAAGTTCAATACGTTTATTAACCATCAGAGCTAAGAGAATATCTTCTAAAAAAAGATTTGCCAAACGGGCCCTTAGACTTTTAATTTTAGATCGTCTTAACAATCTATATTCTGTGGTGACGACGCTCACCCATATGTATAAAAGGAACCGGTATTTGTGCCTTACAGAACTCACCTCACAGCACATTTCAGTATTGAAACATCTCCCCACAAATCATTCACAGATAAAAGAGATGTTTCTGATATGTGGCTGGGATATTGGTGAAATTTGAAACATCTTCCCACAAATGATACACAAATAAAAAAGATGTTCCTGATATGTGTGACTGGGATGTTGGTGTGAAGAGCAGAGTATCATGGGAGAAATTTGACAGATTTTAATTGAATTGAGATCTTACTGTCAATAAAACACTTTCCAACCCTTCACCGACCCGCCATGTATGATGTGTGATTGTGCGGTGTGAGATTATGTTGGAACGTGTTTTGTTGGTAAGTGATCGGACTCGCATTAATTACCCGGTTGAACCTTACTCATTCCAACTTCTGTTTGGGCAACTCAAGTTCACAGTTTGTTTCCTTTTGCATGCTAACGTCATTCGAATTTGTCTACGGCATTGGTGTTTTCTTGTTCCATGCATCTAGAAGTCGATGGATTCAATTAGTATTAATTATAACAGAAAGTTTCAATCAAATTACCTCCGTTGAAATCAATTTTGTTGACACATTCAGTGATTCAGAGTTCGTTCCATACATCACTATCAGTCTTGGCAGCCATGTCAAACGCAATAACTAACTTGCAAGAAAAGAAATCCAGAAACCAACTTCTACTACTACAGGTACAACTGAGGAAGTTCGTTTTAGTTACTCCCTCCACCCCATGCATTCAATCATCTCTTAAATATTCTGTGTTTGGTTTGACCAAAGAGAGAGAGAGTTGTATGGGCATAGTCTAAATACAGTGGGGTAAATTTCTGAAACCTCCCTTATAAGAGTCCGAATCTACCATTCACAAAATGTGTCTCACACCATCCTCACAACATGTTCTGGCGCACATTGAAAATATGTCTCATATTTAGTATTTATTATTTATGGGGAGATGCTCCTAATACAAGGTAGGATGTGGCTGTGTGGCCTGTGTGGCCAGTATGTGAAGAGCAGATCCCAATTCCTCTTATAATTCTCTAACAATAAGCATGAAAATGTCTAAATACCCATGTGGTTAATTTCCATCAAAATGTTTACTTTTCAAAATTTCTTTTACGTATCAAAGGATACCCCAAACCCTTCAATCTCTTTTCCAAATTGATTTATTTTTTAAATTTGTCCTTCATATTAATTGCTCAAAAGTACTCAACTTTAAACTCTCTTATTTATTATTTTATTCTTCATAAAATCTATATTGTTTTTTTTATTAAAAAACAACCTCAACAGTAATTATATGAATATTTTAGACATTTTCCTGAATCTTGTTAGAGTATGCTAACAAAGGAGGTCTAATTGCATTTACCAAACTTCAGTCAATCAAAAAACATAAACTCCGCTTGTTGTGGGTTGGGCTTTGGTTTTGTCTTTATGCCTAAGGGCTGGACTTGGTTGGGCCTGCTCATTGGATAATGTCTTGTGCTGATGAAGTACTAACCAACCTGGGGAAGCTATTGATTGCATATCAATGGACAAAATGGGTGTCTGAGTCTCCTCCTTATGAGTGGTTGGTCCATGCTCCTCAACACGGACAGTTGCATCTGTGCATGTAACGGAGGGGACAAAGCGGGTATCTCTCCTTGCCTTCCAATTGTCGCTCCAGTAACCAGTGTTCCTCTCCAACCAACCCTTTATTGTCTTTGATTTATTTACTGGTAGTTAAAGTTTAAGAAGCTTTATCTGATCATTCACTTTGTTTGTATCAGTTGAATATTACTTTAATTAGTCTAAGATTTAACCGGTTAAGCCTAAATAGATATTCCTTTTGGCTTCTTCTGACCCCAACTGCCGGCGTTTTGTATGCATCAACTATCTTTGTTTTAGTTCTTTACTGCAACTGCTCAGTCAATGGCGACCGAAACGCAATGCCCATGTCATGTACTGCTTCATTTCAGTAAGAAAAAGACAACCGAAACCGAAAAAAGAGAAATCTGTGATGAAGGGAAAAAAGAAAAAAATCAAAAATATCAGTGAGAGAGCAAAAGTATAGCAATGACGTGCTATTTTCAATAAAAATCGGCACTTGTGTATTTGTATATACGATTGATACGGATTAATGCCGATCACTTCATTCCCATTCATCACTCATCCTCTAATCCCATCTAATACATCCCTCCTTTCTGTCGTATATGTATGCCCAAATGCAGCGCCAATTGCACCAGTTCTAGTCCTTTTGGAATTTATAGAATCCCAGACAAGTTTTGGGATCTGGGTTTCTTGTTTTTTTAATTTTTTTTTATTTGTTTGTTCAATTGTATTAATTGATTATGGGTTCGTCTCTGTTGCGAGTTTTGGGTTTTGTTTTTCTTTTGCTGGGTTACTGTTCTTCTTCTACTTCTCCTCTTCAAGACCAAGAGAGAGATAAGATCACCGAGTTGCCAGGACAGCCGACCAATGTTGGATTCGCTCAGTACTCCGGATACGTGACAGTTGATCAACAGGCCGGCAGAGCCTTGTTCTACTGGTTAACAGAGGCACCGGCAAGTCGTCGGCCCGAGTCGAGACCACTCGTTTTGTGGTTGAATGGAGGGCCTGGGTGTTCATCTGTGGCTTATGGTGCCGCTGAAGAGATCGGGCCATTCCGTATCCATCCCGACGGGAAGACCCTCTTCTTCAACCCCTACGCTTGGAACAATCGTATGTCAAGTTTGAGACTGACCTCTGTTCTCTCATCAAAACTTCTAAAGGAAAAAGAGAACAATTGGCGCCTATGTACGTAGTTCTAATCTCATTTTTGTGTGTTGCAGTGGCAAATATCCTTTTCCTAGAATCTCCAGCGGGGGTCGGTTTCTCGTATTCGAATACGTCATCTGACTTGTATACCGCCGGTGACCAGAGGACAGGTACTTTTATAAGTTCACATAATTCATGCAGAACTCTGTTTTTTTTATTGTTTCATTTCTTTTAAATTTGAATGTTTCCTGTAATTGGTATTGCAAATTTAGTGTTTTGGGAGTGTTAAACTGTAAATTAGTTTCTGTTGGCATCTGTAGATGATTTTGAGATTTCGTTTTTTTTTTTTTTTTTTTTTTTTCAATCTGTAGCTGAAGATGCGTATACTTTCATTGTAAATTGGTTCGAAAGGTTTCCCCAGTACAAGCATCGAGATTTCTATATTGCTGGAGAAAGTTATGCAGGTTTGAAAATTATTCCAAACAGAAACTAGTTTTTTAATTAGTTACTGTCTTGGGTGTTTATGATAATACCCCTGGAGCTGTTTTTTGTTCTATCTATTTCAGGCCATTACGTTCCGCAATTGTCTCAACTTGTTTACCAGAGAAACAAGGGGCTTCAGAATCCTTCTATTAATTTCAAAGGCTTCTTGGTAAGTCGATGAGAATTTTCTTTTACGTGTCTTGGACTCTTTATGCTCAACTGCAGTTCAACAATTATGTGGTTGTTGGCTTTTGTTCTCTCTTTTCAGGTTGGAAATGCTGTTACTGATGATTACCATGATTATGTGGGCACCTTCGAGTATTGGTGGATCCATGGTTTAATTTCTGATGCTACTTACAGAACTCTAAGAGTTGCTTGTGACTTTGGATCCTCACAACACCCATCTGTTGCATGCATCAAGGCTTTTGATGTTGCAGATAAAGAACAAGGGAGCATTGATCCCTACAGCATATTTACACGTCCTTGCAGTAGCGCGATATCTCTCAGGCGCAACTTAAGGGGTCACTATGTAAGCTCCCATGGACCTTGCCTTAGATTTAATTTTCTTTGGGGCTTCATCTCAGCATTATCAGTATCATTTGCAAACACTGAAATGTAAACCCCAAACATCTTGCATATAACAACCTCATATTGCAGTCTTTTCTGCCATACTCTGAAGTCTCTGATATTCTGAGGTACTACTATATTATCTCAGCTCATGGATATCCCTGTGTAGTTTCTTCCCTAAGCATCATTTAAGAGTGCTATCTTCCATAATCTGTGCAGGTCTTTAGAAGTACTGACAAGCACAGATGTTGGTCCACACCCTGAGACACTTGAATTTGTTATCTGAGTATAAGATGTGAAAGTCCTGTCCCCTCTGTGCCTCCATTAACACTTTCTGATAAGACTTGATCTTTCAACCCCATTGTTGTTTGGCTCATCATGACAACCCTGAACTAATATAATTTTGATGTCGACATGGCATGTTACCATCAGTCTAGCTCCCAGAGAGAAGCTAATATCACTTTCCAAGAATGCTCAGCATGCCAGCAGCTCACACAAACCATGCTGGCACTTTGCAACAAATGCCCCCTCCCTCCCTAGTATCCTAACAATCGAAACCAATAAACCTATTCAAGCTTTGACCAAGAGGTAAAAACCAAACATTCTGCCAATAAAGTTATATTACTCAACTGCTAAGAATGGGTAATTATGCAAAGAGATAATTGACCAGCAGATGGGGGTATTTACTTTATAATTCTATAGGTTGTAGATGGCAGGTACTTGGTGCTTTTGGAAGGGTGATGATCAGTGAAAGCAAAGACTGGATAATATCTGAAGGAACCAAAAAAGTATCATTTCTTTGGTGGCTGGACCATCAAGACAGACTTGCCCTTCTCTGAAATGATTATATTGCCAGTTCTTTGCTTTGCTACATAATGGTCCAAATTCATAACGGCTGTTTTACCCTTTGTCAATAATCAATATTTGTTTGTAATGGGGGATCAACTTGTTTAAGGAAGGGGAAGGGTGGTAAAAATCCTTCTTTTGGTTTTATTTGTTAGAATTTTCTCACTGCTTTTGTGCTTATGTTGACACTAATTGTCTTGTTCAAACTCAGCCCTGGATGCCCAGAGCATATGATCCCTGCACCGAGAGGTATTCGATAATATACTTTAATCGGCCAGAAGTGCAAAAGGCGTTGCATGCCAATTTAACTGCCATTTCCTATCCTTGGAAAACATGCAGGTATTGTACCATTCTAGAAGTTGGTTGAATTGTTGAATGTTTGTAACAATGCAGTTCACCAAGTTCCTTGTTGCAGTGACATTGTTGGGGACTATTGGGCAGATTCTCCATTATCCATGCTTCCTATTTATGAAGAACTTATTGCTGCAGGTCTTCGGATTTGGGTATTCAGGTAAATTCCTTTAACTCTTTACTTTACCTATCTTAGTTAAATTTGTTATTGATAAAAATATTTTGAATTTTCCATTATATTACCTGATTGCTTTACTTTTATCTCTAACGCCACATTTACATGGGTAGTGGCATTTATAAGATGTGCTTATAAAATAAGCAGCACATCATTTTCAAAATATTGCATTTTGATCAACTATATGTGATTTTGATTCATGAAGAGGGGTAATATTGAAGTAATCCAACGAACTGAAGTGTCTATATCTGCATGGATATAAGGAAAGACCAGGTTTCTCATCTGAACAGGATTAAAATCACTTTGATTTGCAGGGTTCAAAATGCGAACCCTGTAAAACAATTCAACTTTGTAGCTTTCTAGGAACCAAAATGTTACAATTGCAAAAAAAAAAAAAGAAAAAAAAGTGATGGTAACTCTACCAACTTGACTTGGTACTTCCATCTTGCTTGATAGCCATGATAGGTTACACTTGATCCATGTGACAACCCTATGTTTATACAGATCATACTTGGGAATTAAAATCTATTGTAGGGCCTATACTTCCAAACATCATCTAACCTAGTAAAATTAGTTCATCTCCAGTGACTCAGCTTGCATCCTTTGGAAATGATTTTGGACAACTTGGTCTTGTTAAATAAAAACATATCCGGTATCCCCCTGGAGGGTGTTATGGGCACCATATTAGCTTATAGGATGATAATCCCAGTGAACAACAACAAACTTCATTTCCCAGAATGGGTGGTATCTGCACAATCAGATCTTGGTTAATCATTCAATGACTGCTCTATTGGTTGTGGTAGGTCATGAAGTGATAGGTGATGAAAATATCTGTTCAAACTCACTAGTAATAGCATCAGCATCCCCTCAACCCTTTAAGGGTGTTGATAAATTTTATTTTTCCATACATCTTTGACATGATGTGGAAGCCAAGAAGGCCAAAAACATGCTGGCTTCTTCATATGGGATTGAAGCATAGCCAAAAACATGTTCTTACTTGGTGTCAAATTTCACTGTTCTGTCATATTTCCGTTTTTTCCCCTTGCCTACCATTTTTTGATGAATGGATGCTTATAGCAACATTCTAAGAGACACTGTGTACTTTTTTATATTATAATGTTCTTTATTTGGTAAATTGGTTCTTCGTAAGATACAAAGGCAATATCAAAATTTCATGGCCGTATCGGCCAGTACGTATCATATTGGTGGCTTCCTGGTATGCCCCTACAGGGGATGTTTAAGGGTCTGACCTGGCTCAGGGGGTAGATGGGCCTTAAATTGACCCCTCTGAACCAGTTTCAAAGAAAAACTAATATATATATATATCATAACCTCATCTTCCATAATCCATGGATTTCATAATGCTTCCTGTATCTGATTGTGGCTTGTGATTGAACACATTGTTCAGTGGAGACACAGATGCGGTAGTACCTCTGACTGCAACTAGATACTCTATTGATGCTCTGAAGCTACCAACAGTTATGAATTGGTATCCCTGGTATGACCATGGAAAGGTCAGTATTGTAAACTAAAATCTCAGGATTCTTATTTTAATCATCTTATGTGGATCCTCTCACAGCTTTTTTTTTTTTCATTCCTTTTTCTCTTTTACCAAGTTCCCATTTTATAGATGTAATTTTTGTGATATAGGTTGGTGGGTGGAGCCAAGTGTACAAAGGTCTGACCTTCGTAACAGTAAGGGGTGCAGGGCATGAGGTTCCACTTCATCGTCCTCGACAAGTTCTCATATTATTTAAATATTTCTTAGAGAATAAGCCAATGCCGAGCTAACTGGTTCTCTCTGATTCATCATGTTCCCTTCTCTATAAGCTATCTGGGGTCTAGAAGGAAAGAAATAAGTAGAGAAATTACCTGCACATCCAATTCATGTTTAGTGATAGTATTTGTTTTCTGGGAAGATTAGGAGGTTTTTCATCTCCTTGAAACAAATAATTCCACTGTTTTTTTAGCTTATTTATTCCTCTACACAGATTCATGTAAAAGTGTTAACAGATAAAACATTTAAACAAAGAAGTTAGTTAATGTAATACAAATATGTGAAATTGGTTATTCTTTGAAAGGCCAGTTCGTTTGCTTCATTTCATTTTTATGTTGAATATTCAAACTTGAGTGTAGCCTCATGATATACAAGTAGAGGACCACCCACCATTCCACCCGAAGGGGAAGAAAAAAACCCTACTCTTTAATTGCAGACCAATATGGAGGTAGTTTAATCCGTGTAGATTTATTGGGTTCAAGCTCAATCCTACCATGCCAAGAACATGTAACATTCCAAAAATGCTTAAATTTTTATTACACTTCTTTTCATTTATTATGTTAGGAATAAGGTGCACCAATGTTCTTTTATCCCTTGCTAAAGTTGCACAATAACCGATTTATCCAAAAAAGTGGCATTACTAAAATGATAATATTGTCACATCATGTATTAATTAGATAAGTAATTTACCAAAATAAGTTGTCTAGGTAAATAAGTTGTTCAAGAATCATTCTTTTTTGCGGGACCCATTAATACCAAAATAGGAATGGAGGTGAACCCACAAACTTACCCTCCCTTGAGTCCGAATCAGCTACCAACAAAATGCATTCCAACTATCTGTCAACATGATCTCACACCACACATCTCATACATGATGGGTCCCCACTTTTATGGTGGGTCCCAATCTCATGGTGCAATGTGCAATGTTGGTTTGTTGGACCAAGTTGGAAGAAGGTTGCAATGTGTTTTGTTGACAGAAAATCCTAATTCTACTTACTTCCCAAAAACGAAAGAGGCCTATCATAAATTAATAGGTAAATTTCTTAAATTATCCTTATGTTTTTGCAAATTGATTAAGTGTACTGTTATTGTTTGAAAATTGTCTAATGATACCTCTACTATTTCTGACAATTAACTATCATTAACTGTTCACATGTGTGATCAGGTGATTGTTGTATTTTTGAAAATTCCCACCTTACCCTTCGAAAATGCCCTCGTCTGGGAGAGACGGTTCTGTCTAAGTACCTTGTTTACCGGTATCAACTCAAGAGTGAGAGAGCGAGCTCAAAATTGGTTATCTCCGGCACTGGCACCAGCTTTTGCATACCAAACGCTGAATGCCTGTCCTTCCTAAGAAGAAGAAACCCTAACCATATTTCCTGAGGCATTTGCAGAGGGCTTTCATATGCTGAGCAGCAAACCAGTTATTAGATGGATTTACGAAGGATTGGAACAGGGACGAAGCCATGGCCACGAACTTCTTTGCATCTCTCTCCCTCTCTCTCTGTCCCCTTCGTTCTCTCCCTTGTTTCATCACCGCCGCTGCTGCAAGTTGCAGCAACGACGAACCCCTCCACGTCCGACCCCAGTTAAGTTAACCAGGATGCAACTTTGTGAAATCTTTATCCCATCTATCTCTCGGTAGACAGAAGGAGAAAGCTTTTTGTTGGAAAGGCTAAGACAATAGCATGAGAATACTTTGAAACCAATTGGATATCCTCCCACACCGGACCTCTTTCTCAAAGATGATCAAATACATCAAAAGAAGCAAAGATTGTTCAACTCAGATCGAATAACCAGAAACACCTAAATGGAAATATTTCTCCCATGGATCCAAGACAATTTCACCGATACCCATTTGAAATTCTCAAATAGATATTGATGATGTCGATGAAAAAGAAAACGAGCGAGAGAGAAGAGATTGAAGAAAGCCACAGCCGACCAGGGTACGCCTTTATGAAGAAGAGAAGCTAGTTTATAGAACCAAACACATTCTCCTTCGACGCAGCTTTGCTCAGGTCCTCTCTCTCTCTCCCTATTCCCTTCGTTCTCTCTCCTTCTCGCCCCTCTTTCTGTAACAGTGGCGGACCCCTCCACATCTGACCTTCCTCCACCGTCTCCACCTCCGGCCTCTCTCTCTCTCTCTCTCTCTCCTTCATCCCCTCCATTCTCTCTCCCCTGTTTTGTCACCACCTAGTGGAACCCTCCACCGGCCTCACTCACTCCAAAGCACCCAAGGGCAAGCTCTAAACGCCTCCACCATTTGCCACCTCCTCAAACTCCTCCAACAGATCCCGCCTCGCCCTCACTAGAATCTGCTGCCTCCTCAAACTCTTCCAACAGGTTCTGGCTTCACCCATCCGGCAATCTTCAGCAAACCATTCCCGTAAGACATGGGAAAGCATTCCAGTAAGAGAGACATGGGAAAGCATTCCGGTAATACGGGAGCCTTCCATGCCTCCGTTTATGAAGGAGCTTCAGCTTTGAAAAAATGTGCCTCTTCTTTCTTTAGTATTTTTGCCATTAAAACTGACAAAGAGCTTGCACCGGAGCTTAGGGCACTGGGACTGAGAGCGAGACCATATGGGAGGAACTTTGTTTTCTCATAGCTCATCAGCTGAAAAATGGCGAGATTCGTGAGTCAGCTGAAAAAAAGAGCTTGCACCGGAACTCTGTTTTGCTCCTGCTCGACAATTGCAATCTCTTGAACTTTTTAATATGTCTTAGGATCTTGATCGAGGGAGCAATAGGTTCAGCTTCCATATGCCGATCATCGTTGGCTTTGTCATAGGTGGCAGCAGTTGAATCGTATGCAATCGATCACCAAAAACCCTCTACAGATCGTGGCAATGTTCTGTAGTGGCCGCCGTCGCCTACGACGACTGGGCGTTCTGTTCAGATGAGCGAGTCTGCACATATGCAAAGCAAGGGACAAAAAGGTAAATTTAGCTTTCGATAAGATTTAGTCAATTGTAAGAAACATTTTCAAACAGTAGAAATACACTTAATCAATTCGCTAAACTATAAGGGTAATTCAAAGAATTTACCCTAAATTAATTTCTAACTACAAATTCTCCCTTGCTATATTTGCAAAAGGGCATACATTTCCTCCAAAAGTCCATTGTTTTGGCTTAAAAAACAATAATAATAAATCCGTAGCTCGACCAACAAAAAAGTGAAAGGTCTTCTCAAGAGAAGTGCAACAGTTGCAATTTATATTCTCAAATAATTAATGGGAGATCACTTGTTCATATGTTGATATTGTTTTTTTTTTTAAATCAAATATGTTGTAAATCCCCTTAATCTCTCCACATAATCCTCCCTTCTTCAAGCTAAAGCTATTAAAAGGATGTCTCAATTGACTACTAATCTCCATAGAGCCCATTTTGGGAAACTAACGACTTCATGTTCTATTCCTTACTTGTGTGATTTATTTCATGGAGAGATATTTCTAATGCAAGGCTATAAAGGCTGTTCGAACTATACAAACTTTTTCCAGTATTATATAGGGGGAGATGTTCCCAATTCATGGGGGTAGTGTGTTGTGGGCAGAGTTCTCATATGCAAGAGATCTGGAGTCGAACATGCCTTGTTTCGTTTTTGAATTATATATCCTACTAAGTTGAAATCCCAAGCCACAATAATTTCATGAGTTGATTTTTTTCTTTTTCTCACAGCTAGCTTTTTGAAACAGCAAGTGAAATATTTAGGGATGGCAATTTCCCTATCCCCATCGGGTACCTAACCTCCCTGACCCGATAGGGTCGGGGTGGGGAATGAAGTGTCCCCCCCCCCTACACACACACACACACACACATATATATATATATATATATATATATATATATATA